AAGCCGATTCATCTGGCGTCAAATTATCAGCTGGCTTCTTGCATTTCCTTTTAGCTGCAGATGCGTAAATTTTAACAGCCGGTAACATTGAGACGAGCGGCTCAACCGCTTCTTCAAGTGGTACAAGTGGCATTTTCTCGTAACCACTAATAGGCATGAGGAAATCCATCGGTTCCTGTGCAACGTCAGTCAAACGTAGAGCACGTTGTGACATTTTTTCATGTTCACCACTTTTAGCCATATCGACTGTCGGATAATAACTTAGATAACAAGCAGAAGAATGATTATCTGAAATAAGTCATTTAAACAAATTGTATAAGCTAAAGAATGATGTAGCTCATAGATGAAATCAATCTAGTTCCTCGACCACCGCTGTCGGTACCGGTTTGAAAACATCACACTGAATCGCATCGGTGTGTACACCGGTTATACCAGTCTACTGATAAAATGCCCGTCCATCGATAGACAATAGGCCTAACAGTATTTACCAGTAGACCAATCGGTCTAAAAACCGCATCAGGAGTGAAACGTAGCTACTATTTCTATCTATGATACAATGTGTACAACACCAAAAAGTTATCAAATACTTAGGGCATTCCAAAAGTAGTGGCAATGACACTTTAATACTGTATAGTAAGCTTGAAGAAATTTTCTTTGTTTATGTGGTGATAGAGAAAACGATGCTCTATTTTTCTGTGCTATTTGATCACTCTTCCACTAATATCATAATAATAAAATTTCGATAAGAACTGTTTTTGTGTAAAACTTCACTAGCGGATGAGGCAGATTAATGGCTATGTTTTGCATTTGAATTTTCAATCACTTAATACGTTGTATTAAAAAACAAAATATACCACAAGATACAGCGTGAAAAGCTCTACAATTTACAAAGCACAGTTTATTTCATATATGGAATAAGAAAAAAATAATTTCTTTTCGGATAGAAACAAAATGATTTTTTTCGGGGCAGCGAACATGGTCGAACAGAATTTTGCGTTTTTTTGAAAACAAGAAGTACACAATTAAAATGACCGTTACTTTGGAGATTATAGAGCTTTTCACGCTGCATCTTGTGATGTATTTTGTTTTTTTAAATAAAAGATATTAGGTGACAAAACGATGAAATAAGAAAAAATGAATTCATCTTGTACCAAAAAAATATCATTTTCGCACGGTTGAAAATGGGTCGCTCAAAATTTTGTTCATTTTGAAAACAAAAATTGCAACTATAAAATAAGTGGTCTTATGTAAATTGTAGAGCTTTTCACGCTGCATCTTGTGGTATATTTTGTTTTTTAATACCACATATTAAGTGATTGGAACATTTAATCTGTGTCACCCGCTAGTGAAGTTTTACACAAAAACAGTTCTTATCGAAATTTTATTATTATGATATTAGTGGAAGAGTGATCAAATAGCACAGAAAAATAGAGCATCGTTTTCTCTATCACCACATAAACAAAGAAAATTTCTTCAAGCTTACTATACAGTATTAAAGTGTCATTGCCAGTACTTTTGGAATGCCCTAAGTATTTTATACGCAACGTGTAAATAACTTTTTTTTGATAATTTATCTTCAGGACATTCCTATAAAAACTTCATTTTATATCCAGTGTCCGACAGCGATTAGAGCCATCAAGCACGTTGTGCGAGTCTTTGAAGTAAAAACAGGAACGTCGAATACTTGGACCGGTCGAACGATGACAGATCAGCATCACATGGATGAAAACTGGTCACAATACGATAACGGACCGGTAGACCTGTAATAAACCGTTAGACTCCTGGTCTAAAGTGGACCGGTATCAGAACGGACCGGACTGGACCGTATTGGACCAGAGCGACCCGATCAGTGATCGGTACCGGCTCCATCTAAAATGTAGCTCTTCATATCCAAAACGATTATAAGGTGCTTTAACAGCTACAATACGAAAAAGAAATACGCATAGGTGGTGATAGATCTTTTTCGCATCAAAACTTTGAACTACTACAACCATGTGTAGACGTATATCAATCACATGCCGTAAATTCACAGAAATAGTACTTCTGATCTTTCTTTTGATATGAATATTTTCAGAGTTTGACAAAAGCATATACTTAGTTCTTTCTTAACCTCAAGTAAATCAATATACTTCATATCTAACAAAATGGATATCGATTATTATTGTTACAATGACTACAGAATTTACTGGAATCGTTTGTGATTTTATGAGTTTTTGTCATCACTTTCTGACACTTACGCATTTGCAGAATGAGAAGCACCTTTCCGTTGCACTACGGTATGGTGTCTTCTATTAGTTTCCAGGAAATTGATTTTTTTCCATTTTATTCGGAATCGGGCAAAATGGGCACCAAGACAAACCCCGTGTGACTTCCTTGGTGGCAGCCACATCGAGAGGGTCGCTGTACGGCTTCCTTCGCGCCATCCACATCGAGAGAGATGCGGTGTAACTTTGTTCGCAGCTGCTACATGGAGACAAGCGTGGCGTGACAGCATTCGCGGAACCCACTAGAGCGAGAGGAGGCGTGACACTCTTCGTAGATGCCAGATCGAGAGGGATGCTCTATGACCCATTCACGCCTCCCACACCGAGAGAGACACAGGATGACTTCGCTCGCGGCTGCCACATAGAGACAGACGCGGTGTGACACCCTTCCCGGCAGTCACATCGAGAGAGACGCAGTTTGGCTGCCTTCGTGGCACCCACATCGGTCAAGACGTATAGTAACTGTTTTAGCCTACTATGTTCGATTGCATTCGTCCAAGCTGCATTGTTTGGCGAATTGTTTTTCTATGCCATCATTCGAGTTCCAGAAATTCATTGAGTTTCAGGAAATTCAGTTACGGTTTCCAGAATCGCATTGAATCTCTGGAAATTCATTTCTGATTTCCAATTTTCGGAAATCCATTGCTTACCGAAAAGTCATTGACTTCACTGGAAAGTCGTGTAAGATATCATATGTGCATAACAGACATTTCTGTGGTATGAAGGCTTTTTCCTATGTGACTTCATGTATTTCTACCTTGTTTCGACCATCACTTTGTAGTATAAAATCTATTTTTGTTGATTCTGAAGCATTACTTTATGACCCTCACTTATATTGGTCCGTGAACTAATTATCGTGTTAAATCAAACGGGATAAAAACAAAGCAAATACAAAATACCCACACCTTCTCTCTCTAGTTCCGGATCGAATCATCACAATAGGTTACTGATCAACATTAACTAATTAAAACGAATTATGCCGAGAAAATTTCATTACTGGTAATTTTCAACTGCCAACCAAGTCATGCGCATTTGAGATGAAAGTGTCCTGTTTATCGAATGCTTTAGTTTTTTACTTTTGCATCACGACAACGTTTTACGTAGACGATTTTCTTTACTTCTTCCCTCACCACTTATGTACTATTCTTTTGAATTCTTTTTGATTCTTCACATATTGTGCTGTAAAGGATTGCACATAGCAACAGTAAAAGATTCAACGTAAAGAGCACTGGAAGATCATTTATGTTGTAGTAATTGGCATCGCTACAAGATAGATTCTAACAATAGCTGCATGTTTTTCTTCGGGTGTGTGCGTATGGGTGTAAGTATCAGGGTGTGGGTGAGGTGTGAGGGTGTGGATGTGAGTATGGATGAGACTAGAGCGTGTGAATGTGGTTGGGTGTCTGTGAGGGGTGGGTCAGAGGTATTGGTGCGCTTTTGTTTTCTGTTGATAGAGAACGCAAACCCTCATACTTTCGGGTGTGGGTGTGCCAGCAGGCGATATTCTAGGTTTTCATGACATCCTATGGATGTGATCGGATCTAATAATGATTAAAAGGTATAATCATAACCTGTTCTATTGAGCTATTATTTCCTTGTACAGAGAATCAACAGTTGTTTAGTGTGCACAATCTATTGTTTTTGTTACTCTGTTGGTTTTTCATAAACGTAACCAAGAAAAGACAGATCGAAAATATTCTGTCTGATTGCTCCGTATCATAAGCATTAATGAAGAATGCTACTATCTTCTCGGATTAATGTGAAGTTTTTTTCATATGCTGTGCATCTATTTTTTTTACGTGTTCAACATTTAATCTGCTTCCATTTTACTTGTTAGTTTCTTTTTTTTGCTCTAATCTCCATGAACTAATCTCGTTAAATTTATTAAAAAATCCTGACTTACTTATTGAAAGGGGACTGAGAGGAATCTAGCTCCACACCCACCTCCCCATAAAAATTGAAAGCGTGTCTGATTTGGGTGTGGGTGTGAGTTTAGTTATTCTCTTCACAGACGCCCACACCCACACCCACATCCACACCCCGCATACCATTGTGCACAACGGGATTGATGCTAATATCAACGTACATACACCTACCCACCCTTTTGAAACCTTGGATACTAGCTTTATTGAAGATTGTAAAGCAGTACTTAACAGCAAAAGAGCCGAAAATTTAGTCGGGGGTCAACTGACAAGGGAACCTTCTCAGGTGTCGGAGCGCTTTTCAGTCAAGGTTTCGCGCATCTTGTAGCCCATAGTGAGTTATGTCTATAGTAAAAAAAGTTCGGGTTTCTGGCTTGTTTCTGAGGAGATATCGAGCTCTTAGTGAATTTTCTCTATTGTACGCCTACATTGGCAGCAAAGCTATACTT